AGCAGGGAGCCCGATGCGGGGCTCCATCCCAGGAGCCTGGGGTCATGACCTGAGCCGAAGGCAGACGCTTAACGACTGAGCCACCCAGGCGCCCCTAACCATTTTCTTGTATATCTTTACGGAAATACGCTGTTGCATATACAGTTACTTCACATGTATGGCCTTTTTCCCGCTATGCCAAAACAGCAACATACTAATGCTTTGGTTTTGTCCATGTAACAGTGTGCCTTAGAGCTAATTCATATCAGGCTGTGTAGAGTCACCTCTTTTAAAATAAAGGCATGGTTTTCTCCTGGGATACATGTACCTAATCTTATTTACTCAGTCCCCTGTGGATGGTCATTTCAAACCACACTATCAAAATACATCATTTTTTTTATGTGTGAGGTTGTCTTCTGTGGGATAAATACTCAGGTGTGGAATTGCTAAGTCAAAGGTATGTGCATTTGGAATTTTGTCAGATATTGGTGAGTTTCCTTTCATGAGGATGGTACCAATTCATGCTACCCATAGCCTCACCAAAATAGTGCTACGATGATACTTTTCGTCGTCGTCAATCTGATAGTTGAAAAAGTAGTAATTCCTTATAGTTTTATTATTATTATTATTTTCTTAATTTTGGTAAGATATACATAACACAAAATTTACCACTTTCACCATTTTTAGGTGTACGGCTCAGTGGCATTAATGACGTTCACAGTCTTGTTCAACCATCACCATTGTCTATTTTCCAGGACTTTTTCGTCACTCCACACTGAACTCTGTACCCCCCTTTTTTTTTTAAGATTTTATTTATTTGATAGAGAGAGAGGGAACATAAGCAGGGGGGAGTGGGAGAGGTAGAGGGAGAGGCAGGCTCCCCGCTGAGCAGGGAGCCTGATGCAGGACTTGATCCCAGGACCCCGGGATCATGACCTGAGCTGAAGGCAGACGCTTAACCAACTGAGCCACCCAGGCGCCCTGAACTCTGTACCCCTTAAACAGTGACTCCCTGTTCGTCTCTCCCTGAGGAGAGAGGTACCCTCTCTCTTCTGTCTGTATGATGTTGTCTATTCTAGGTCCCTCATATAATTGCAATCATACGGTATTTGTCCTTTAATATTTGGCTTGTTTCACTTAGCATGTTTTCAGAGTTCATCCATGGGTGTAGCATGTGTTGGAACTTCATTCCTTTTTATGGCTGAATAATACTCCATCATATGGATAGAACACATTCTTTTATCCATTCACAGTTGATGGACACTTGGGTTGTTTCCACCTTTTGACTGTGCATAGTGCTGTCAGGAGCAAGGGTGTATTTGTAGCTATTTGGATCCCTACTTAATTCTCCTGGGTACATACCTGGGAAAGGAATTGCTGGATCCTGTGGTCATTCTGCAATTAACTTTTTGAGGACCCACCAGACCATTTCACTGTAGTTTAAATTTGCCCTTCTCTAACCTAGCTGAGGCTGAGCATCTTGTCCCATGATGGCTTTCTTTGTCACTCTTTTACCGTGAACTCCTTGTTCATAAACTGTACCTAGGATGCTGCAATGATTTTGTTAATGCTTTTCCCATTGATCTTTCCCTCCTCCACAAGAGCACAGACCCCATCCACCTAGGTTACTGTCCAGATTGCCGGACACAGAAGCAAGCTGTTCCATAAATACTTCTTACAGGACTATCCCAAGAAGGCAAGTGGCATTTGTCTGTCCCTCACCCAACTCCTCCAGGAAGCACACTGGCTTTCTGCTCCCATCTGCACCTTCCTCCCTATCCCCTCACTGCCACACAGCGTCATAAAGAGATACCCTTTTATTCATTCATAAAATCTCTCTACTCAGCGCCACTGTTTGCCTGGCACCTTTGTGATGTGGGTGATCAGTCTGGAGCTGCCACCATTAGGATGTACTCCCTGAATCCTAGTGGCATCTGTGACATTTGTCCAGCAGAATTTGTCAAACACATGAACCAAAGGTTAATGATCTGTCCCAGAGACGGAAGGAATTGACAGTCTAAGGAAGTGCCAACTTTTTTTTTTTCTTAATTCACATAACATGAACTTCGCCGCTTAAAAATGAACCCTTCAGCAGCACTTAGTACATTGACAGTTTTGTGCCGTCACCACGTCTGTTTAATTCCAGAATGTGTTCATCACCCCAGGAGACCCGTACCCATTAGTAGTCACTCCCATTCTCCCCAACACCTCCTCAGTCCTAGGCAACGACTAATCTACTTTCTGTTTCTATGGATTTGCCTATTCTAGAAATTTCAGTTAAAGAGAATTATACATACATGATCTTTGGGGTCTGGCTTCCTTCACTTAGCATGATGTTTTTGGGCTTCGTTCGGACTGTAGAACGTGTCAGTACTTTATTCCTTTAATGGCTGAATAATACTCCATTGTGTGGTTAGACCACATTCTGCTTATCCATTCAGCTGTTGATGGACATGGAGGTTGTTTTCCCTTTTGGCTATGGTGAATAGTGCTATTCAGGTGTGTACCTAGAAACACTTGCTGGATCATGTGGTCATTCTCCGTCTAGGCTTTTTGAGGAACCCCTCGAAGAACTATTTGATGTCAACCTTTTTTTTCTTTTCACTCCTATTGTGGGGCTTGAACTCACGACCCTGAGATCAAGAGTTGCATGCTCTACCAGCTGAGCCAGCCAGGTGCTCCGATGTCAACCTTCCACTTCATGTTTGCCTTTTGCCTGGCAGGCACCAGCTAGCATGCTGAACTAGGAAAACATGAAATAATAAATAGGTAAAAAAAAAAAAAAGTGGTGGTGGGGTGGGGGGAAACAGGCAATTCTAGGCCCAAATCCCAGTTTAGCAACAAGCGGCTTGAGCTGGAAGTAGCTGCCGCCTCTGTAGGGGGCAGGCTTACTCTATTTTGGGGTTTTCTCATACTTGGTTCCTACAGAGATGGAGTTTGGATTTCGTCTGTGTGTGAGGAGGGGCTTTTCAAATAAGGAAATGTGGAGTAGGCTCTTCTGTATAGACTTAAGATCATTATCACAACATGTTTTGCAAGATTTTTTTTTTTTTAAAGATTTTATTTATTTATTTGAGAGAGAGAGAATGAGAGACAGAGAGCACGAGAGGGAAGAGGGTCAGAGGGAGAAGCAGACCCCCTGCCGAGCAGGGAGCCCGAGGCGGGACTCGATCCCAGGACTCCAGAATCGTGACCTGAGCCGAAGGCAGTCGCTTAACCAGCTGAGCCACCCAGGCGCCCCCATGTTTTGCAAGATTTTTTAAGGCTGTCCACAGGAGGCGGGAAGGAGGTCCCCGCGGTGCCCGGGGGCAGCCCGCTTCCCCTGTCCTGCCCGCAGTGGGCGGCTGACCCTTCCTCTCTCCGCAGGTGGCCCTGCTGCCGGATGGGAGTGCCCGGGCGCGCGCACCATGTCATCATGCGTCTCTAGCCAGCCCAGCAGCGACCCGGCCGCCCTTCAGGATGAGCTGGGGGGCGGCGGCGGCAGCGAAGGCCAAAAGCCCTGTGAGGCCCTGCAGGGCCTCTCGTCCCTGAGCATCCGGCTGGGCATGGAGTCCTTCATCGTGGTCACCGAGTGTGAGCCGGGCTGCGCAGTGGACCGCGGCCCGGCCCGGGACCGGCCCCAGGAGGCCGATGGCCGAGAGGGACCCCTCGACGCCTCCACCTCCGGGCCCCAGGCCCGGCCCCAGCTGTGCAGTCGCAAGCTCTCCCTGCAGGAGCGGTCCCAGCTGGATGCGAACGGACGCTGCGTCTACGCGGCCCTGCCCCACTCGCCGGTGGGCTCCCCGCAGTCCTCGCCGCGGCTGCCCCGGCGGCGCACCGTGGAGTCCCACCATGTCTCCATCACTGGCATGCAGGTGTGTGAGCTGGCCGAGCCCGCGCGGTCCTCTGTTAGGTGGCGTCCATTTGGGACGTGACCCTAGGAAACCCAGGTGGGGGTGGGAAGTGAGGGGGGAAGAGAAGGAGGTCTACAAGGGTGCCCGAGGGAACTGGTTGCCGCCATGCGCAACTGGGGCTCCATCTCTGGGGAACCCTGTTTGACAGTGTGGAAAGTCCTGTACTTCAGAGTTATCCGGCCGGAGGGCCAAGGGAGCTGGGCCTTTCATACCAACTCCTGGCAGTTGCTGGTGGGGGCTTCTGGGGGCAGGTGACCTGCCCTGAGAGTGGGCACAGCAGCTCTGGGGCCACAGAGAGCGTCCAGCCGAGATGCAGGCACTGGTGGATGGAGTTGTGCGGGGCTGGCGGTCAGTGAGAAGCGACCCGGCCCAGCAGCAGGGCACCAGGCACGGCTCTCAGCCCTCGGTGTGTATTTCTCTTTTGATCCTTATTGAAAACTTCTGGGAGGTAGGTTAGAACTCAGAGCACCACTAGGGCACACTGGGCCTGAGTGATCTGCCCCTGCCCCCTCTCCCGCCCCATCTCCTGCCTTTCTGCTGCCGGCTCACAGGGCTCCATCCACATTGCCTTCTTTGTATTCCTCAGATATTCACGCTCATTCCCTCCATTAGGCCTTTACCCCTGCTGTCCTCTGTGCTTGGACCCCCCCTTCTGGCCCCCCTGTCTTTGCAGGTCTGTCTCCCAACTCAAATGTCTCCTCCTCTGAAGGGCCTCTCAGACTGCCCTCTGTAAGCAGCCTCAGCCCTCAGCCTCTCTCCCCTGTCACCCTGTTGATGCGACACCCATCACCATCTGATTATCTGTGTGTCTGTTGAGTTGTTTTAGGCCTGTCTCCCCAGCTAGAATGTAAGCTCAGAAGGAACAGTCCTGTCACCATCATGTTCCCAGCACCCAGTGCACATAGTAGGAACACAAAAATATTTGTTGAAGGAATGAATGAATTTAATTGGGAGAAGCATGGATATCAAGAATGGCTTTCTAAAGGGGCCGGTATTTAACTATATTTTGAGGGCTAGGTAGGATTTTCATAATTGGAGATGGGTACACACAGAGAGTTCACTGCAAGGGAATGCACAGCGTGAGCAAAGGCCCAGGGGTAGAAGTCAGGGTGTGGGGGGAAGGGCAATCAGGGGTTCAGCTAGCTGAAGAATAGGGCCCATGTGGGGAGCACTGCGGCAGCAGGGCTAGAGGGAGAGTTTGGGTTTATTTCAGTTAGAGTTGAGTCAGCCTAGAGAAATAGAGACACACCACCCTTCACCACAGAAGTGGCTTTAACACAGTAGGGCTTATTTATCATGTAAAATAAATCTGGAGGTAGGCTTTTGGGACCTGTGTGGTGGTCCTGTTGTTGTTGTTGTCCTTAAAACCTCATGGTCTCAAGATGGCTGCTGTGACTGTAGCCCTCACAGCTTCATTCCAGACAGGAAGAAGGAATAGGGAAGAAGAGCTAAAGTCATCTGCTGTCTAAGTCAGTCCTTTTTCCTGGAAACTCTACCCAACAACTTCTGCCTACTCCCGCTACCCAGAACATAGACAATGTGGCCACCCCTAGCTGTAAGAGAGGCTGGGAAATGCAGTTTTCCAGCCTGGTACATTGCCACCCAGCTATCCATTTATAAGGAAGAAAGGGGAGGGGCGCCTGGGTGGCTCAGTTGGTTGGGCGGCTGCCTTCGGCTCAGGTCATGATCCTGGAGTCCCGGGATCGAGTCCCGCATCGGGCTCCCTGCTCGGCGGGGGGTCTGCTTCTCCCTCTTCCCTCTCGTGCTCTCTGTCTCTCATTCTCTCTCTCTCAAATAAATAAATAAAATCTTTAAAAAAAAAAAAGGAAGAAAGGGGAGCCTGGTATTTGGTTGGCAATTAGGTGACTCTGCCAAGGTCAGAGGAGTGGAGTCAGGACTTGACCCTGGAAGCATCAGGGCCTGATGGGATCAGAGTGGAATCTGGAAGATGAATTCAGCAGCGTTTGGGGCTTAGATTAGGGGCAGTGAGACCCCTTAGGACAACTCTGCAGGGCCCCACTTCAGCCTGTCACATCCCTCTAGGACTCATGGGAATACAGTCAACACTGGAAAGAAACAGAGGAAGCAACCTAGTGGTGAAGGGAGGGCTCTGTGAGCCGAGGAGTGCTATACAGCAGGTCAAAAGACGCAGGTCGGTGTGTACACTCAGACATGTAACTGTCTCCAGTGACGTTGAGAGAGAAATGATCTAGTGTGACGTCATTTTTGCCTCCCAAACCCCATCCCAAAACGATGCTCTGTATTTTCAACAGGTGCATGTATGCGTGCATTTACATAGAGAAAGGCCTGGAAGTTTATGCACCAAACCGATGTCAAGGTTCGGGGAAAGGGTTAGAATTGGGATGGGGGGTTCAAGGGAAGTGTTGGGCTTATCTGTAACACTGGAAGTGTTATTTTCTATCATGTTTCTTTTCCCAGTTTTACTTCTTGTATCACCTAACATTTCCTCCCTAATATGTTGAGGTATAATTGAAGTAAAACGAAGTGCACATATTTCAAGTGTACAATATGATCAGTGCTGATATATGCATACGTCTGTGAAACCATGGCCCCAGTCAGGATCACAAACCTTCCCCACACACCCGACGGCACATCCTCCCCCTTCTTCCCCTTACCCAGGTAACCGCTGACCTGCTTTTTAGCATTGTAGATTAGTTTGCAAGTTCAAGAACCTTATGTAAGTGGAATCATCTAGTATGTACTCTTTTTGGGGCTTAGCTTCTTTGACGGCATGATGATTTCGAGATTTGTCCGTGTTGTTGCATGCTTCCTTTTTACGGCTAACTAGCACTCCGTTGTCTGCAATGGACCACTGTTTGTTGACCACTGTTTATCTGTCAGTGGGCGTTTGAGTTGTTTCCAGTGTTTTGACTATTACACATGAAGCTCTTTCGAACATTTGTCTGCAAGTCTTTGCACGGACACGAGTTTTCACACCTCTTAGATGAACAGCTAGGGGCAGAATGGCTATGTCCTGGAGGAGGTGTTTGTTAAGAAACTGCCCAACTGTTTTCCGAAGGGGCTGCACCATTTTAAATTCCTACCAACAGTGTGCAAAGCTTCTCCATGCCCTACATTATTCTGACAACACTTGGTATGGTCAGTCTTGGATTTTAGCCAAGCTAATGGGTGTGGTTTTAATTTACATTTCCCCCATGATTCATGATGTTGAGCCTCCTTTTTTATTTTGAGCCTCTTTTCATGTGCTTACTGATCATTTGTATATCTTCATTTTTAAGATGAGGGTGTTGTTATTAATGAGTTATAATAGTTCTTTATCTGTCTGGATGCCAGTCTGATGTGTTGCAAATAGTTTCTCTCAGGCTGTGGCTTACCTTTTGTTTCCTTAATAGTGAGTGTCTCGAAGAGCAAAAGTTTTTTTGTTGCTGTTTTTTTTTTTTCAAAGAGCAAAGGTTTTAATTTTGATGAAATCCAGTTTATCACTTGTTGCCTTTTATATCTTGTACTTTTGTACAAAAAGAACCTTTGAGAAACCGTTAAGAAACCATTGTCAGCCTCACGGTCAGATATTCTCTCCTTTATGTCACTTTATGTTTTTATAGGACAGCATAGTCCTTAGATAGGATTACTTGTTTAATTTAAAATCAACATTTTGGGAACACCTCTTAAAAATGGGTATTAAGGGGGCGCCTGGGTGGCTCAGATGGTTAAGCGTCTGCCTTCGACTCAGGTCATGATCCCAGGGTCCTGGGATTGAGCCCCACATCGGGCTCCTTCTTGAGCAGAGAGCCTGCTTCTCCCTCTCCCTCTCCCTCTGCCTGCTGCTTCCCCCGCTTGTACACTCTCTCTCTCTGTCAAAAATAAATACAATCTTAAAAAAAATGGGTATTAAAAGAGTACATACTGTATGATCACCTTTTTGCAATGTACAAAAACTCTGCTGTTAGAAGTCAGGGTAGTGGTCACCCTGGGAGATGCTTCTAGGGGGCTGGGAAAATTCTCTTTCCTGATTTGGGTCCTGGTTCATGTGTTTGTTTTGTGAAAAACATATTGAGGTGCAAACTTACAATTCATATACTGTGTGTTTCTACTTAACTTTCCAGGATTGTGTACAGCTGAATCAGTACACGCTGAAGGATGAAATTGGAAAGGTAAATATCCCAGGAGCCAGGCTGGTTTTCTACATCTACCAAGAAATGTCTCCGATACAGTGGAGGGAACCTGCCAGAGCTGGGAGTGGGAAGAAGTCCTTGGAGGCGAGATTGTGGGGGAGGGTTTTGTCATCAGTGGTCCATCTGGTTTATTGTCTTTCTACATCATAATATTAATGTGTTTCCACAAAAGCTCAGACAGCTTCGAGGGAATTCCATATCACCAACATTAGTGTTTTTTTTTTTTCCCCTCTAAGGTACTCTCACATCTATTTTTGCTTTTATTTCAGCCAATGGGCAGTATCTTTGCAGGGGTCAAAAATTCAAATGCCAGTAGAAAGCAAGTGAGTAATATAAATGAGCAAAGCATGCTAGGTCTAAGGCAGTAGGGAGTGGTGAGGACTGTGGCAAACTGTTAACATGTAGAAATGATTATGGGTCCATAATGGACAGATCTGATTTTTTTCAAAAGAAGCTGAGATTTTAGATTTTATATCTGATCTTTCTGTTTTTAAATGTTGGCAGCTAATTCAAACTTTCTAAAAACTGCAGATGCAATAAAATGTAATTGCAGAGCAGATTTGGCCATTTGGCCGCTGATTTGCAGCCCCTGTATTAGGGTCCTCATTTTGCAGATTGTAACTTCTGGATAGTATGTCATGGGCATCTCCCTTTATCCAGGGCTCCTATGGTGTGGTCAAGTTGGCCTACAATGAAAATGACAATACCTATTACGTGAGTATCCATGTCCCCTTCCCTGCCCTCACCATTGTCCAAAGCAAAAGCCTCCTTTCCAGAACTTGGTTTCCTGGAAGATTTTCTTCGCTGTTGTCTCATTTTATTCTTAAGTCATTTCATTTCGTGCATTAGGAAGGAAGTGGTGTTCCCATTATATGGATGTGGAAATGGGGAGGCAAAGTGATTGGCTCAGAAAGAAAATGTGTAAATTCAGTAAATGTCTCATAGCCTTACTCTGGGCTACCATTTCTACATCCTTCATAGCACCAAGAACCAGGTGGTAGTGAGACAAATTGCCCTTGTAGCTGAGGCTTTGGGGTCAGTCCGGTGTGGGTTCAAATTCTGGCTCTCCCATCTGCCAACTGTGTGTCCTTGGCCAAGTGACATAACACCTGAGCCTCAGTTTCCCCATGTGTAGAACAGCCTGTCCCTCGTCCATCACTCCAGCTCACTAGTGTCTTGATTCACTTGTATCGAGTCCCAAGGCTTGTGGTCCCAGCTAGGAAAGAGGACCAGGAACCTCAGAAGCACCCTCAGGGCTGGGGGGACCCTGGCAGTCCAGCCCCCGGCCACCCGCAGCTGCTTGACCCACTCTGATGACGAAGCACTCACTACATTGTCCTGAGGCTGCCAGGAAGCCAAGAGCTTTGGCTGGCCTAGGAGTGGAGGGAACTCTCCCTCCTCCTTCCTCTCCATTTTAACTGAGACGTGGGGTCTTTTCTCCCATAGGCGATGAAGGTGCTGTCCAAAAAGAAGCTGATCCGACAGGCGGGCTTTCCACGTGAGTTTGGTGGGCCTTTGTTCTTAGGTGCAGGGCTGGGGCATGACAAAGAAGATCCCACTGAATGGTGTCCCCTGCAGAGTGCCCGGGTAGAGGCCTCGAAGACTCCTGTCACTATGGCCTGGGGTATGGCGTGGGAAGGAGGGGACAGAAAGCTGAGCAAGGGGGCTGGGTCTCCAGCCTCACTGATTTTCAGCAGCAGAAGAGACAGATGAGAGGAGCAAGCTACTTACGGCCCCTGGTGGCATCAGCCACTCCAGCCCTGCCGAGACCCCCTCACTTGCATTGCCCCCCCATTTGCAGAGGAAAAGCTTTTTGCCCTGACCTTGGGATGGTCTGTGTCTCCTCCAGGTCGCCCCCCGCCCCGAGGCACTCGGCCAGCCCCTGGAGGCTGCATCCAGCCTAGGGGCCCCATTGAGCAGGTGTACCAGGAAATCGCCATCCTCAAGAAGCTAGACCACCCCAATGTGGTGAAGCTGGTGGAGGTGAGCTAGGGGGACAGGGAGGAGGGAGGCAAGAATGGTGATTGTCCAGGCCCAGCTCTGTTATTACCCAAACGCTGCACCACTAGTTTCTAGGGAGAGCCATACCATGTTAAACAGCTGTTGCAGAGCTAAGTAGTATTTATTGCTCTAGGTTTCTTCACCCCTGTTCTTTCATGTTATCCTCACCCTTCCCTAAGACTATTTATTATTCCCATTTTACAGATAAAAAAATTGAAGGTCAGAGGGATACCGAGACTTGCCCTTTATCCATTTTTGTCTTTGGAGCTGGTTCTCTCTCTCTCTCTCTCTCTCTCTCTCTCTATATGTGGTTTTAGCACAAAAGCAGCCATATGCATGTAAACAAATGGGCATGGCTGTGTTCTAATAAAACTTTATTTGCAAAAAACAGGCAGAGGGCCAGATTTGGCTTGCATGCTATATTTGCCGTCCCCTGTTCTAGATCCGCAGTTCTCACAGTTTTTGGTCTCAGGATTCCTTTATGTTCTTCAAAATTATTGAAGGCCCCAAAAAAGTTTTGCATATGTGGGTTGTATTTATTATTATTTGCCATATTAAGATTTAAAACTGAGAAGCTTAAAAATTATTTATTAATTCACTTAAAAACAACAATCCCATTATATAACAGTATATTTTTATGAAAAATAAGTGTATTTTCTGAAAAAATTTTAAGAAGAGTGGCGTTTTACATTTTATTTTTTAAAAATTTATTTATTTTAGAGAGAGGTAGAGAGAGAGCACGGTGGGGAGGAGCAGAGGGAGAGGGAGAGACAGTCCCAAGCATACTCTGCGATGAGTGTGGAGTCCAACACAGGGCTCGATTCCAGGATCCTGAGATCATGACCTGAGCCGAAACCAGGAGTCGGATGCTTAACGGACTGCGCCACCCAGGCGCCCTGGCATTTCACATTTTTGCAAATTTTTGTTGTTGTTGACGTCTGGCTTAATAGAAGATGGCTGGATTCTCATATCTGCTCTTGCATTCAGCTGTGGTGATTTTGCATGCCATGTGGTTTCTTGTTTCTCTACTAGTAGAGAATGCGAGTAGAAAGGGCAAATATTATCTTAGTTTTATTTATTTTATTTTATTACTTTTTAAAATAAGATTTTACTTTATTTTTTATTTATTTATTTTATTTTTTTAGATTTTATTTATTTATTTCAGACAGAGAAATAGAGAGAGAGCACGAGCTGGGCAGGGGAGGGGCAGAGAGAGAAGCAGGCTCCCGGCTGAAGAGGGAGCCCAATGCGGGGCTTGATCCCAGGACTCTGGGATCACAACCTGAGCCAAAGGCAGACGCTTAACCAACTGAGCCACCCAGGCGCCCCAATAAGATTTTATTTTTATTTATTTGAGAGAGAGAGAGAGATACCGAGAGAGCATGAGCAAGGAGGAGAGGGAGAAGCAGGCGCCCCGCTGAGCAGGGAGCCGGACGCCGGGCTCGATCCCAGGACCAAGGGACCATAACCTGAGCCAAAGGCAAGACGCTTAAACGACTGAGCTACCCAGTGCTCCTTATCTTAGTTTTAGTGTGAAAATCGTTTTGACCTCATGATCTCCCCGAAAGCATCTTGAGGATCCCTAGAAGTCCGCGAACTACATTTGGAGCACCTCTGGCCTAGATGACAGGACTTGTAAATGGCATGTGATAAAGTACGTAATTGGACGGGTGTTCGTCGTGCTGCAGGAGCATGGAGTGCGAGCAGCCAGCCAGCCCAAACAGCTGAGGAAGGCTTTTCAGGGAAAGGATGTTTGAGATTACCCCGGTTGTTCCCTGATGGAGATAACAGGGAAAGGACAGAGAAGGGCATCGCAGAGGAAGGAACAGCATGTGCAAAGGGCCGGTGCCCTCTGTTTGGGGGTATATTCCTGACTTTGGTGGGTGTGAGGGTTAGTAGCCGTGCCCTCCTGGGGCTTTTCAGGTATGGGCTCTAGGTGGGCCATGCCCTGGGTCTGACTCCCCCGACAGGGCAGGGCTTAGCGCTCCAGGTGGGAGCCTAGGGTGCATCTCTTTCTCAGGGCTCTCGTCCTGTGGATCTTGGTTGACTGGGGAAGGTGAGGATGATGTGGGAAGAGGCAGGAGGACCAGTCTAGCCAAGGAGAGAAGGAGAGGGACGGTGGCTGCAGGCTGTCTTCACCTGTCACGCTGAGTTTCACAGTCTCAGTTCGCTGATGGCTGGAGTCAGCCGTCTTAGAGGAAGCTCAAGGACACTTGGTTTAGTGAGTGGCTCTGGGTCCTGGCATGATCTCCCTGGCCCCCACTGCCCTGTGGCATCTGACCTGTCCACCCAACAAGACTGGTTGCCAGCTTGCCTGTTGGACAGACCTCAGACATTCATCAGATGGCCATGGACATTCATCAGGCATTTCCTGAGCACCGACTATGAGCCTTGTCCTGTATAGGGCACCACGGGGGCAACTCAAGCGGATACAGCTGTTTGCAGAGACGGACAAGATAGACATAGGTGACGAGCTGAAAGCAGGATGGCCGTGAGAGGAGAGCGAGGACATGCCATGGCGGTTCCGGGCAGGGGGACGTCTTTTCTTACAGGGGCAGGAGGTCAGGGGGCACTTCATGGAGGAGTCAGAAGAGCCCAGACAGGATTTGCATTTTCACCCTGAGGATCAGTCCTCTGTCTCCTAGGAGACGGGTGGGATTCTTACTGAAACTGAGACACTTCCCAGGGGAGGAATTTTAAAAAAAGAAATTTTTTTTGGGCGCCTGGGTGGCTCAGTTGGTTAAGCGACTGCCTTCAGCTCGGGTCATGATCCCATGGTCCTGGGATCGAGTCCCGCATCGGGCTCCCTGCTCTGCGGGG